CACACACACACACACACACACACACACACACACACACACACACACACACACATATATATATATATTAATATATATATATATATGCTCTTGGTCTACAAATGCTAGGGAAGGGTAAATATGATTAGATATACCACCACATATTTTGTAATAAGTATGACCACGCCTAAAGTCGACCTACACTAATGAATTTTGTATAAGTTGATGGGACGAAACTGACAACTGGGTGATGTTTCCACGGCAGTCGGATGCAGGTCAAATTCAGTTTTTTAATGGGTTGTACAGGCGTTGCGTATGTATCGCTTTAATTTTGTCTATGTATCTCTGTGGAATCAGACGTATATTGACATCTGTATGTATAAATAATATATTTACATCTCTATGTATAAATACTCCACCCTATTCGTCTAAACCCCGTGCATCTTCAGAGGAACATATATTATATACACAAATAGGCACACATCACCGTTGCCCATCCCTGTCAGTGTCGTGCCTTCGCAACGTCGTTACGTTAACGTTCTCTACACACATACCCATTAGTAGATCAGCTTCTCCATGTGCGCGTTTGTGTGCTCTGCTGTGTCTGTACAAGCTATTTTGTACACTCGTGTCTGACTTTGTGTATACGTCGAGCGTGACGTTGATCAACGTAGAGTACCTTTGGTGTAGGATATCTTAGCAAGGTGTGGTGTGTGGTGTGTAGTGTTAAGTGAGTACTGTCACTCAGTCTTATCCGTAGTGGTTGTACACACGGCGAGCCAGGCAGTGGGTTATACTGTCGGACTGTGGATAGTGTAAACAGCTCTGCAGATAATTTGTACTTGACGGCACTTCGGCTGGGATGTGTTTAGTTCGAGTTAAAGGGAGGCAATCCTCTGTCGGATGTGATAAAATAGGTTTTAGCGATGTCCTTTATTGTGGCCGGAGTGCGATCCGTCGCTACTTGTCATACGACGAGATCGGTGCATCCAATTGTTGTTACCTTAAGTTGGTGATACACTGAAGACGGATCATCAAATTTCTTCTACCATTTATTTTCATTCACTTGTGCATAATGCTCAGAACTGAAACTCTTGCATTCTATTGGCTCCTATTTATAGCACACAGGCCGGCGCGTACAAGAAGGCTACGGCGAGTTGGTGCAGCTGCGTGTAGTGCAGCGCAACATTGCGCAATCCATCGAGGCACTCAACGCTTGCCTACCCGTTTTAAATGTATGTGTAAACCAAAAACCTAAACACTAAACCCTACAATCTAAACCCTAAACCCTAAAACCTATCGATCTCAGACGATTTAAATGGATATGTGATGCGAACACATCAAGAACTATCGATCATCATATCGGTCGTCTTGAATGGATGTGTGAAGCGTGCGACTGACTGGTATTGCAATAGAAAGACGTGTTGTTTGTTTGAATGTGTGTGTGTCCCATACGATCATTAGTGGTACAGTCCTTGTCAGAAAACATTCCCGTCTTTAGTGTGTGTGTCCAGAATGGGTATACCCAGTTTTGCAATCGTGTGCCTGGGTGTATATGGAAGATTTGTGTGAACTATAGCCATCTCTAATATCCCAGGCGTCTTCAAGTTGCCAGTACGAGATGTATATGTGAAGAAGATTTCGCACTACCATCAAAGTCACTCTCTGCTTATCCGTCTTATATGCAAGGGTGAAGGGTAGTTGATATTCAAGCTCAAGAGCATCTATATATAATCTCACAGGCGTAGTATTGGATTGGGTATAGATTTTGCCATGAACTCAAGGTTAACACGTTTATCAGTGCGCTTTACAAATATATGCACGAACACCCAGCCTTCATACATACATAAAAATAAAACACATGTATTTATAAGCACGCCTCATACATATATATACATATATATATGTATTTTCTGTATATACCATACATACATATACATCACGCCCCATACGTACATATACATACATACATATATTATATACTTCGTATAAGACGTATACGA